CTAGACTTATCCCCGCAGGTAAGTAGTTTGTAAGAGAATCCTGTTAAGTACTAAGGATTTCAGTGTTGTAAAATTTCATGAAATTTTACATAATTTTGTATGGTTTAGTAATTTTCCAGAAGAACTGATACTCTGGGCCACAGAAGCTCTTTCTCAGTCAAGCTGCAAATACTAATCCGTATTTTACATATCAAACAGGCTATGGGGAGGCCAAGAACAGACTGACTTTGGAGTCATGAATGCAGATTCCAAGGAGAAAGACAGAATCTGAATTCTCAAGCACTCCAGGGATCTACACCTGCAGACCTATGAGAGTAGGCACCACTGTCTCTAAGGGCACAGAGGATGTCATTTACCATGTAAAACAATGTGACTGTTAGCACACAGTTCTTCAGGAATGGTGGCCCAGGCCAGACCTATGCATCCACTTTTACAGAGACAGCAAAAGAATAAATGGGGGCTTATTCTGATCCAGGCCTCTGGCAATCAGTTTCTTCTCATTGTGGGAAACTGAGTCAGTGTAGTAACTTCTGAATCAGTTGTTTCCATTTGTGGTATCATCCTGCTAGCTGTATTCAATTTACCTTGTCTGAGGACATCCTCAGTCACTACCAATTTCATTCCAGGTTTACTATAGTCTTGAGAGCTCTGAACAGAAGACTCAACCTATGAAAACCACTCATCAAAGTCCCCAATGAGTCTTAAGATCAAACAAAGACCTCCTTTCTATCTTTGATCTCAGTTTTCTCATCTGTAAAGAGGAAGAGCAATATATCCTTCTTATAGTTGTAAAGATTGGAGATAATACTTGCAAAGCTTCTAGCCTAGCATAGAGTAGCTATTAATAGTTTCTAGCAATTTCCCTCTTTCCCTGGATCATTAGTTTATCCCTCTGCATTTGATAAAATGTAGCTTTTGTTATAAACTGCCATGAAAATAAGTTCTTAGGCTTTTCCAGCAAGCGGCCTGAGGTGACCTCTAAAAATGGTTTGCTATTCACTTGATCCAGAAAACCCCACAAAATCATGCAAATCAAGAGGTTCAACTCTTCGTGTTCACTTTAAGAACACTCGTGAAACTGCCCAGGCCAATACGTGTGTGCGTACCCGAAAAGCCACCAAGTATCTGAAGGATGTCACTATAAAGAAGCAGTGTGTGCCATTCTGTCATTACAATGGCGGAGTTGGTAGGTGTAGCCAGGCCAAACACTGGGGCTGGACGCAGGGTCGGTGGCCCAAAAAGAGTGCTGAATTTTTACTGCACATGCTCAAAAATGCAGAGAGTAAGGCTGAACTTAAGGGCGTAGATGTAGATTCTCTGGTCATTGAGCAAATCCAGGTGAACAAAGCCCACACAATGCAGTGCAGGACTTACAGAGCTCGTGGTCAGACCAACCCATACACGAGCTGTCCCTGCCACACTGAGATGGGCCTTACTGAAAAAGAACAGATTGTTCTTAAACCAGAAGAGGAGGTTGCACAGAAGAAAAAGATATCCCAGAAGAAACTGAAGAAACAGAAACTTCTGGCCCGGGAATAAATGCCACAAAAAATAAATGCAAATAAAAGTTAGAAAGAAAAAAAGTTCTTAGGTTTGATATCTTAAGAACTTAGAATCAATACTATCTACTAGAAGTCAGTTCCTGTCACTATCTTTATCTCTAGAAGCTTTTTACAATCACAGAGGAAAGTCCCTTAATGCAAGGTAAGTTTGGAGGGGATATTGGGAAAGTGACCAAAATCCAGTCAGTTCTCTTTTTCCTTGTAAATAAATACCTTGGAGTTGGAGAACAGGTGAGATGGGGATGTCAAAGGTAGAAAGATTTTTACTCATCTCATGAGAAGAGAAAAGCAACACAAGGAAAAATTTAGAAGCATGTCTCTAGTGACATTTATAGATAAAATATTGCCCATCTGATAGAAAACACGAAAGTAAAAATGTGTACATTTCATGCTGAATTTATGGAGGGTGAAATGAGATTTTTTTTTTGAAGGAGAAGGAGAAACTCAGCAATGTTTAAAATCTAGTTCATCATGTTTATATCCCAACCTATTTCCTTCTCATGCTTCCTACCGAAGGGAAGGGCATCAGGATCTATCTAACTCCCGAGCGGGGAATCAGTGTCATCCATGTCTACTTCTATGCCTCCTTATTATACCAGCATCCAAGCGGTCACCATATTTTGCAAAATTCCATTACCTCCTGAGTCTCTCCCAATGCCCTTCAGTCCATCATCATCTTTCTGGGCTTCTATAACCACCTCTCCATCACATGGCGGCTGCCACTTTTACTTTCTCCAAATCCATTCTCTGCTGTGCAATCACGCTGATCTTCCCTCAACTCAGCACCCTTCAACGGCTCCCTGCAAGCCTCAGGACAAAGCCCAGTGTCTTTAACACAATCTACAAAGCCCTTGATCATCTTGTTGCTGCTGCTCTCCGGTCCAAAGGAGGTCTTGCTAGGACCACATGATTTTGTTAAAAAACAATTTGATCAAGAACAAAATCACAGCAGCAACAACACGTTGATTCAAAATCTCCCCCACCACTTATTTTTCAGGTCTTAGTGATTCAGATGCACTAAGTATTTAGTAGTGCTTAGTTTTTATGCATCTTCAAGCCTTTGGGACCATTTTTCAGACTTTTTCAAGTTTTTAAATTTTATCTCTATTTGATTCTTAGACAATTATGCTTGTTTGGCACCTATTCCTGAAGTTTTGGGGCTTGTGGCAAAGTAGAGAGCGAAGTGAGTGTAAATCAATGGCCTGATGCCATGGCTGCCGGCCAGGAAGACCAGGACCTGTTCCAGCATCCGTGAGTCCTAAGTGGGGTCGGACCTCCACCGGCTCTCACTGGCACTGGGATGCTGGGAATAAACACAACACACTGTAGGCTGAATGCAGTGAACAATACCCTGGAACCCTGTCAGTGGCTTCAGAATCTTCTGTCATCTAATAAGCTTCTGCAGATGACAATTCACTCACCATCTCTACTTCCATAAATCATTTTTCTGCAAGAACGAACCCTAGACTTGAGCTCTTCCACCCACAGAGAGTGGGGCACGCTCCATGCCCCTCAATCATGACCACAAAGTTGAATGAATCCCATAGTGGCAAGAAAATGCAGCTTCATATAAAAGAAATATAGAATATAGCTAAACAGGCAAAGCAGGCATGAGTGGTTGAGGCTGGGTTTTTAAAAACAGCAAAATGTTGAAACAAGAAAATCTCGAATAAACAACCTAACCTTATACCTAAAGCAACTAGAGAAAGAAGAACAAACAAAACCCAAAGTTAGTAGAAGGAAAGAAATCATAAAGATCAGAGCAGAAATAAATGAAATAGAGATGAAGAAAACAATAGGAAAGATCAATGAAACTAAAAACTGGTTCTTTGAGAAGATAAAAATAACAAAATGTTGGGACTTCCCTGGTGGCACAGTGGTTAAGAATCCACCTGCCAATGCAGGGTACACGGGTTCGATCCCTGGTCCGGGAAGATCCCACATGCTGCAGAGCAACTAAGCCTGTGCGCCACAACTACTGAGCCCACGTGCTGCAGCTACTGAAGCCCATGCGCTTAGAGCCCGTGCTAGGCAACAAGAGAAGCCGCCGCAAAACAAGAGAAGCCACCACAAAATGAGAAGCCCACGCACTGCAACGAAGAGTAGCCCCTGCTTCCACAGCCAGAGAGAAAGCCCGTGTGCAGCAATGAAGACCCAATGCAGCCAAAAAACTCAAAATGTTAAAAACTGAGTAAACAGCCTGAAAATATATTTTAAACGAACCCCTGACAATCATGATTGCATGAACTGGTGACTGGAAACATTCATTTCTGACCTGCTTTTATTTTAACCAATATGCTATTTCTTTTTTTTTACTTTATTTTTATTTTTTTGGCTGCATTGGGTCTTTGTTGCTGCGTGCAGGCTTTCCTCTAGTTGCGGCGAGCAGGGGCTACTCTTTGTTGCGGTGTGTGGACTTCTCATTGCAGTGGCTTCTCTTGTTGCGGAGCACGGGCTCTAGGCGCGTGGGCTTCAGTAGTTGTGGTACACGGGCTCAGTAGTAGTGGCTCGCAGGCTCTAGAGCGCAGGCTCAGTAGTTGTGGCGCACGGGCTTAGTTGCTCCGCAGCATGTGGGATCTTCCCGGACCAGGGCTCGAACCCATGTCCCCTACGTTGGCAGGTGGATTCTTAACCACTGCACCACCAGGGAAGCCCCCAATATGCTATTTCTATCAGTTTCTTTTCCACAATTTATCTGAATGCACTGTCACCCCCTGTCCCTACCTCCTCCTCGCAGTCCAGCTGTACAATTTCCCATGGCCTAAAAGAACTTCCCTCTTTCTTCTCGGACTTTGCACACACACCCCACCTAGGATGCTCGCTTCTACTCTACTCTTCACCTGGTTAACTCCAACAGATTTCCCAGGTGAGAGCTTGAACGCAACTTTGTGTGAGGAAACTTCCCTGTCCACCATGCGCAGACAGTTGGCTGGAGACTTCCATGGGACAAGTCTAGGACATCCTTGTACGCATGATTTGAGGAAGCTTTTTCAAATATGGAGAACAACACTTTTTATTTTGTAGACTGTATGTAGAGTTGTACGTTTTCCAGGCACTCTCTTGACTTATCCCAACATCCATAAGCACCAAATATGAACAACAAAGAAAAGGGTATCTTTAAACTATGAAGTGTTAATGGCTCAGAGTGCGCCACATATATTGGATTAATGTAGCCAACGAGCTATAAGGACAGAAGAGGAGGATAAGTCAACAGAGAGGTATATTTTGGATGCTGAATCAAGAGAAACAAAATGGATTATTTTCTCTCTGAATCCTTCAAGGGGCTCTTAGTTTACCTATGGCCTAAGAGTTGTTTGTGTTTCTTTGAAAGGAATACATTTGTGGTATTTTGTGAGATAATGAATGAGCTGGTGAGTACACAGGTGACATTAAAAAATGGGTATTTTATATGGTTTAACAATATACAAGTTATCTTACCTGGGGGTTTTTAAATACAGCATATTTTTCCTCCTTCTCCAAAAACAGCACTTTATTTTCTGTGTCTCTTGTCCAGTCTGATAAGATTTCAACAACATTTTCATGGTCTTCAAAAAACCTTTCTGATAGAACAAGAAAAAGCATTCTTTCAGACCCAAGACATCAGGGTTTCCAACAGAGGAATAAGCTGGTGTTGAGTTAACACAATGCTTCATACTTCTCATCAGTTTTTAGAAATTCCTAATTCTTACATGATGTCACATTGTAACATCTCTATTGTGTGTATTCTTCAGTCTCAGGTCTTCAACTTATTTTCCATTAAAAACATGGCAGATGAACCTACAATATAGTGATAATGGTCAGCCATTGCTCTTTTTGCATATTAGAATTTTTGACTATTTTAAATAGCCCCAGGTGGAGGTAACATCCTATATGAAAGGAGGCCAATAATTGGGTAAACAACTTTGAATGAAATTGTGAGAAATTGTGAGATAAGTGATGAGTACTATAAAACATGGACTAAACTGCTAAAAAACAATGTATTTCGGAACCAACCCTACACCTTCCTTTAGAGAGCTTTCAATTCTCTATTTGACTCACAGAGTTGAAGAAAACTTCAAGAGGTTATTTCCATGCAGACCATTTCCTCCAGAAAGATGTGTACCCAAAGCTTCTAAAACATGTATTTCTGTATTCCAACAGGCTCTCCCAGGAGACAATTGTTCTATGAGTGGTATTAAGAACGAGAAGTAACAGAGTATTTCTTTAATTGCTTTTTAGCTTTAAAAAAAAACTCAATCAACGTCTATCCACTGTCCTTTGCTCTTCGGGGCTGAGCCTCTTCCACTAGACAAAGTGTCAGACATTGAGTGAGCGGGCAGTGATGTGAGGCCCGCGGCAGAGTTATCCTAGAGTATAAAGAAGTAAACTTTAAAGAGACATCGGCTGACAGACACCCAGGCTCTCCGACCATCTGCTCAGCTTGCTAATCATGCGGTAAGAAGTATCCTCCTGTCACTTTCTTTCCCTTTTGGATCTGCTAGAGAAGTAGCAGCAATAATGCTTACATTCCCCAAGGTCTGGCCACCTGCTCCAATCCGAGTCTCTTTGCCACAGATAAATGAAGAGGCAAGCACTGAACCTGACCTAAGGGAAGTGATGCAGGGGGAGTCTTGATAGCCTTGAACCAAACTCTTCTTCGCAATAGACCAAAACCCATAATAAAGCAAACTCACAGGTTTTTTGGAGTACAGTCAATTGCTGGAACTGGGACTTACCGATTTGTAGTTCCGGATATATTTCATAAAGACACCAGTCCACATTGCAGTCACAATGGGTTTTCTCAAAAAGGTTGTCTAGAACATCTCGGGCTAATTGCCGCTCATCCACCATCAGTGACTTCGTGCTGTTATCATTCATGTGCACCTTGACAACAAGCTGAGGATAAAGCCACAGGGCAGCCAGTAAATTCAAGCAACTGGAGAAGGTTAAGGTTTCAAGGTTGCTATCTCTTCTGCGAATTTAAGTAAGAAGGTGTCCCACAAACTCACTCATATGCCAAGCACTTGTTTAAGGTGCCAGGAATATAAACGTAGAGAAACCAGTTCACAAAAACAGAAATAAATACACAATAAGCAAAGTCCCTGCCCGGCTTTCAGAGACTCTGCATCCTGGTGAGGGAGAGAGAAAACCAACACAACCCAAGAAGTGCTGCCTGCCGGCCTCCCTGACATCTTTCTGTTACTTCTTCAGGTTCATCTCAGAGCCCAGAAGCGTTGCTTAGCTGAAAGCCGTGCCGGTATCTTTATAATAAATTCTTCTGTCTTGCTTAGCTGGAGTTGGGTCCCATTTCATGCAACCCAAGAGTTCTATGACACAGGTTAAGACCAAGTTGGTTAACCTACAATTCTTTGAAGGTCGGAAGTTGCAGAGTGACACAGTGTCACCGAGGGGTCTTATTGAGAGGCAGGTGGTGTCACAGCAGGACACGTTTGAGATTAGAGGCGGACTAAACCAGATCAATGTAGACTGAGAAAGCGCTACTATGGAGGCATGCAGGCAAATGAGTGACCTAATGCACTTTTCATTCGATTAAAAAAAAATTTACTGCATTGAGTTCACAGTCAAATTGGTAGCTACCTTATTCCAAATCTGGAGGGTCTGGTGTGAGAATTTACTCCTAAGGGCACAGGATTTCACTGATTTTTCCCAGACAACTTGTCAAGGTTATTAAAACTTCTGATCCCTAAGAGAGACCATGATTCTGATGTAACATAACAGAATTAATTCAACAACTAATCAGCTAGGGTTTGGATTTTCTTTGATACCTGTGTTATTTGTAGCATTTTTTTTTTTTTTTTTTGCGGTACGCGGGCCTCTCCCGTTGCGGAGCACAGGCTCTGGACGCGCAGGATCAGCGGCCATGGCTCACGGGCCCAGCCGCTCCAGGGCCTGTGGGGTCTTCCCGGACCGGGGCACGAACCCGCGTCCCCTGCATCGGCAGGCGGACTCTTAACCACTGCACCACCAGGGAAGCCCTGTAGCATATTTTTAATTCCAGCAGTTGTTAGTTATGAGTGCTACAGGTTATAACAGTGCTATCTATCCAGTCTTCAAAAGGAACAGTGGAAATGTGCCCATGAAGCCCACATTTATTAGACACTTATGTTAAGGGAAGATTTTCCATAACTCCTTCTGGGAAGATCTACGTTCTTATTTTATTCTTTGCCAAGATCCTCCCTAATTAAGTGGGAGTTAGCTCTAGTTAGAGTCCATCTTTGAGTGCCACACGGGAAGGAAGGGCTGCCTTTCCCTTTCCAGACCATCCCTGCCCAAACTCCAGCCTGCAGTGCCTGCAGTTACTCCACAGGCTTCCAGCAGAGAATTCCCAGAAGCAACATCGTCAACCAGAACCCCCTGACACTCTTGCGTAAATTTCTATTCTAACTTGAAAAGAGAAGCATGAGATAGTTAGAGACAAGTTCTGCCTATTCTGTCTGTCTAAGGTTGGTCCTGGTTATTCACATATGAGGCTTATCATTATTTTTAAAAAGTGTTTAGATGGAGTGAAGAGAGAGGTCATACAAGTGGTAACATTTCTTCCTCCCCCAAAGTTTGGGTTAGATTCTGAGCAGCAGGGAAACTGCCCCTCTGGTCCCACTCCCACCCAACTGGATCTTGAAGACAGTGTGTAGTTAACAGTGAAGAAGGCAATTCCTGTGGATTTCTGTGCAGAGTTACTGAGAGCAACCAAGGGTGTGGATGGTGATAAGAATCTGGACGAGGAGCAGGCAAGGACCACAAGTCGAAGCACACCTAGTATTGCTCTTCCCACACTTGCACACCTAAGACTCAAATGCAGACATCAGGGCAATAAAGGTGCACTTCCTCCTCCTGGAACCATTCAAATTAGACCATTATTCCAGGCTTGTCCGAAGAATACTTTTTTTCCCTTGAAAACCTGTAGCCCAGAAACGTCTAGTTCGACAGTTGTTTTTGTTTTATGTTCATCTTTTTTTAAAAAAATAAATTTATTTATTTATTTTTGGCTGTGTTGGGTCTTCATTGCCATGCATGGGCTTCTCATTGCGGTGGCTTCTCCTGTTGCAGAGCATGGACTCTAGGCATGCAGGCTTCAGTAGTTGTGGCACACGGGCTCCATAGTTGTGGCTCACGGGCTCTAGAGCACAGGCTCAGTAGTTGTGGCACACAGGCTTAGTTGCTCCGTGGCATGTGGGATCTTCCAGGTCCAGGGCTCGAACCCGTGTCCCCTGCACTGGCAGGCGGATTCTTAACCACTGCGCCACCAGGGAAGTCCCTGTATGTACATCTTTTGATGTATTTAAAACAACAGGCCCAGGACATCCCTGGTGGTGCAGTGGTTAAGAATCCGCCTGCCAATGCAGGGGACAGGGGTTCAGTGGGGAACCTCTGGTCCGGGAGTTCCCACATACCACAGAGCAACTAAGCCCACATGCCACAACTACTGAGACTGCACTTTAGAGCCCATGAGCCACAACTACTGAGCCCGTGTGCCACAACTACTGAAGCCTGTGCACCTAGAGCCCATGCTCCACAACAGGAGAAGCCACCGCAATGAGAAGCCCATGCACCGCAAGGAAGGGTAGCCCCGGCTCACCGCAACTAGAGAAAGCCCACATGCAGCAATGAAAATCCAATGCGGCCAAAAATAAATAAACTTATTTAAAAAAATAAAATAAAATAATGAAACAATAGGCCCAACTACTACAATGTCAAAGACCCATTCATCTGACCAGAGAAATCAGACGTGGATGGTTGTGTGGAAAACAGAAATGCCTCAAATAGTGGAATGACCATGGCTTATTTTCTGTGGAAGGCATACCTGCTGCTCTCAGCTGAGGAATATTGCTATAAAGTAGTTACATGTCCTAAGAAACACTACCAGTGTTAGGACTTAGAAGACAATCTTCCTGATGAAAAAATTAGTGATGTTTGACCACATTTCATTCTTGCTTAGGAATTCTTGAGAAAATAAAACATAGCTTGGTGTTTTGCTTTTAAAGAGAGAAAAAAAACTAAATCACATAATTTGACAATGATGCAATTATGAAAGGGTTGGGTTTTTTTTTTTGGCAGAAATTGCAAACTAAATTTAATCCATATGTAGTTACCAATGTCCACAATTATAAAACTTAGGGGAAAGAAAAACAAGAGAAGGCTGATGACTTTTAGCAAGAAGAAATCATATTTAGTCTTCTTCACAGCTTTCTTCACATTTACAAGCTGAAGAGTAGCTATATACCAACACATGACACCCTAAGTCACAGTTAGGCGATTAGCAAGCTGAGTACTTTTCATATCAACACCATATGATATAGAGTAAAATGACTCAAGAATGAAAAAACTTCCCCTTTCTAATCCATCATAGTAAAGATTTAATGGTTTTTATCATTTCTTCTTTTTCTTTTGCAAACTAATAAATACAAAATTATCCCAGCCCTAAATCATTTGCAATATATACATTTTTGCTTCTATGATAAAATTTACAAATGGAATTGGTCTCCTGTGTCACAGAGCTTTAAAACAAAGAAACAAAATCAATGAGTGAATCCGATTCTGTTTCCAGTTCCAACAGCTTTGCAACACAACTGTGTACATCGTTCTTCGTGATCCAAAGTGATGTCAACACCCCACAGAATACTTGAGGGCAAAGTACTTCAGATAAACTTGATTCCATCCTTTATAAAACATGTTGTAGCTTATGTGTTAGTACATCTTAGTTACTTTATTAATGGATGAGTATGACTCAGTTTTTTTTCTGATGTTCTGTGCCACACAGCCTTTTGTTTTTAGAAATAAGTCTGGAGGGTCCTAAGTCAGAAAAAATATACACCTTAGCTTCTTAATTTTCTTTCCTCTCCCACTGATCAGAACAGCTTCTGTTTCACATCTGCTTTGTTGACTGGAGGCAGGTGGAGCTTTTTGCTACTGTTACAATTCACCTCAACTAAATTATGGCAAAGTTCTGTGGAAATACTGCTTTCTCCTCCTTGTTCTCTTCATCTCCAGTTAAGCAAACTGGCCAAATATGCTAGTTGTTCTACCTTATTTTTTATATTTTTTAAAAATTCATTTATTTATTTTGTCTGCGTTGGGGCTTCGTTGCTGCACTCAGGCTTTCTCTAGTTGCAGCGAGCGGGGGCTACTCTTCGTTGCGGTGCACGGGCTCTCCTTATGGTGGCTTCTCCTGTTGCAGAGCACGGGCTCTAGGCCCACGGGCTTCAGTAGTTGCAGCATGCGGGCTCAGTAGCTGTGGCACATGGGCTTAGTTGCTCTGTGGCATGTGGGATCTTCCCAGACCAGGGATCAAACCCATGTCCCCTGCCTTGGCAGGTGGATTCTTAACCACTGCGCCACCAGGGAAGTCCCAGGTTCTACCTTTTAATCTAAGAACCAACTTCTCTTTTCATTTATCCTCTGAGAGTATCGCCAACGTGGCCCCCATTTTATAAACCATCCAGTGGTTTAACATAGTTGAAATAATTATGAATTGTATTTTTACTCATTTTCTCTTGTCTTTTTATCTCCAAAGGGAAAGTCGGCAACCTAAGACAGCCCATCTTCCTCTGCCATCCATTTGTAACTTGGTTCAGTACATGTTTATCTACAGTGAGGTCTTGTGCTAGAGAGACGGCTATGAAACAGGTCACCCTGCTCTCATCCCTTCCCCTACAATCCACTTTCCACACAATGGCCACTACGATCTTTAAAAACCATATATTATCCCTTGTTAAAAACCCTCATATGGGGACTTCCCTGGAGGTCCAGTGGTTAGGACTCTGTGCTTCCACTGCAGGGGCCACAGGCTCAATCCCTGGACGGGAAGCTAAGATCCCGCATGCCGCATGGTGCGGCCAAATGCTTTCCCACTGCATTGACAATATGTTCCAAACTCTTCATCAGACCTGTGAGACCCTGTGACCCCACCTGCCTTTCTGCCCTCAGCTCCTCCCATTTTCCCTCCTGCTCAAGAGGTAAAGGGGATCAACAGTATGGTGACGGATGGAAGCTAAATTTTGGGTGGTGAGCACACTGTAGGGTATACAGAAGCAGAAATATAAGAATGTACACATGAAACTTACATAACGTTATAAACCAATGCTACCTCAATTAAAAAAAAAAAAAAAGATTTCCTTGGGCAGTATCACTCCTTCCGGCTTTATTTTCTTCATAGCACTTCTCTCCCCAGCTAGAAGTGAACTCTACACAGGCAGGGAACTCACCTGACTGGTTCACCTCTCTGTACCCCCAGCACCTGGTCTATGAGATGAGGATGCATCAGTAAAGAAAACACAAAACTCCCTGGAGGAGCTTCCCTGGGGGTGGGGAGGGGAGGTAGGCATTAAACAGGATAAACAAGTAATCTGGACAGTACGCTGTACGGGGAGGAAGGAAAGCCGGGGGAAGGTAAGGGGTGTGTGTGTGCATGGCACTGAGCAGGTGACCAGACCTAGTGAGGGACAAAGAGAACCCACTGGAATCTGGGGAAGAGCTCTGCAGGCAGGGGGACCGCAAGGCACAAAGGTCCCGAGGCAGAGGCATGCCTGGAACATCTGTGGAGCAGCAAGACCAGTAAGCTAGAACAGAGGGTGAGAGAGAGGGCTGGCAACCAGATCATGCAGGGACTTGATGTCGTTGTGAGGATTTGGGCTTTATTGTGTGTGTGTGTGGGGGGGACATCCTTGAGCAGAGGAGGGACAAGAAAAGAGGTGGGAAGAGAATCACACGAGGGGGACTGGTCTTAGAAACATGACAGTCCATGCACAGGAGCAGGAAAGACCATGGACCACCTGCCACAAGTGCAGGCGGGTAGGGAGGCAAATGTGTTGGGAGCTTGCAGAACCTTTCTTTGGATTGCTTCTACTTCTCAGTGCAATGGGCTGAGAAAATGTGGGAGAGGAAGGAGGTATTGGAGATTTTCAGAGAGAGGACAAGGTGGAAGTAGTTTTCTAGGTTCGTGGGAGAGAGACTGGACTTGGAAGCTCAGGCAGCACCGAAGGCCCAGGCTGGATTTAACCAGGGGTTCACAGAGTGAGGGCAAGGGGGGAGAAGGCAGCCGAGGATGTATCAGTTCAATAACCGACCACAGAATGCAATCACACGTAGAGAATGGGGAAGAAAAATGATAAAAAGGTTCATGCATGCCTGAAATGAATGGAACCAGAACGATCTGAAAAAATTCTCATAGATGAACCTTGGAAGTCTGGATCCTGGAGTAGTCAAGGAATATTTATTAAATATCGACCAACATGTACTGAAATCCTTCATTCAAGGAACCATGAGAGGTGCTGCAGGAACATAAAATCTAATGCCCTGTATGAAAAGAATAATTCACCCAACTGTAAGTAAAAAGTTCTTAACGAGTCTCAGCCACGGTATATGCTTCAGGAGTCGAAGTGAGACTGTTTATCTTTCTCTTAATTTAACTAACTATTGTTAACACTTTATTATTAGGTAGGTGATTCTCCTGAGCTTAAATACATGTGTCTCTGATATAATACAATATATGTGTCTCCAGAAAAACCTATGCTCTACAGAAAAAGCACGATAAATTACAGGCTTATTGGGACAATAGGGTCGAGGCAGGTCACTCAAAACCTATGCCAACTTTGAACACACAGCTCTAGCCAAAAGAACATTTGGTATTTCAGGAGAGAGCTTGGACATCCAGGGCAGACTGGGGGCTGCCTCAGGGGGTATATAAAATGCAAAAAAGCAATCGTGGAAATGAGGTGATGCCACTAGAAGCTGAACTCTGACCCAGGTGACTCGCCAACTTGCCCCCAGAAGGGGGCGCCACCTGCAATTACCCAAGAGTGAGCAGAACCCAGAGTGCATCCTTAGGGGAGGGAGCCCTGGGGGTAGAGACTTGGAAATCTCCATATTTACACTAACATAGGTCCCCTATTTATCAATCACAAATGAGCCAAGCGAGGTCATTAAAAGAATAATTTATCTTTGTCCTTAAATTTAAAAAACTACAACTCATTGGAAAGCACCACTTAAAATTAAAATCTTTTTTAGGCTTAAGCATAATAAAAAGTCATTAATTTGACTGCCCCATGCAAAAGTGATTCCTAATTTACCTTCTTGACCTTGGCCTCCTTCAGTTTTTCCAATGCTAGCTTAATTTTATCAGCCTTGGCTTGGGCTTCTTCTTCTTCCTGTAAAATGACAAGACATTCAACACAGTCCATTAAATAACACCAGGGAGTAAGTACCCTTGCCATTGTTAGTGTCTTAGTCACTTTATATTGACAAAAGGCTGTGTTATATAGGGCACCAAATTTCACATGATTGATTTTCAAAATTTAAGTAACTGTAACAGAAATCTTCAACCTGGAGATACAGAAGACAGTCACCCTTTATATCTTAGGAATAGTAACTTAAAAGATGAAATGATGACTCAGAGTTTCACATATTTAGTCTGCAAAAATCTCTGTTTGGCTCAAAATTGGGTCTAACCTGAGGAATCTATAGGTGAATCTCAAGGGATTTGAGCACTTCCTGAAATTATACACATTCTTTTGAATTAGTATGTGTTTTCTGGGATTCTTAGTTTTTATGAGATTCCTAAAGGGTCCTTATCTTCCCCAATCAAACTTAAACTTATAATTCACAAAAAACCCCCAAAAAAACCACAACAAACTACTGACAAACACATGAGCAGGCAGAAAAGAGAGTGAAATATTTTATGAGCCCAAAGCAGACATATATCTTCTTATACCAGTAGTTCTTATATACTTTTTGAGCCACAAACCCCTTTAGGAATATGTTTAAAGCAATGAAGCCCATAAAGCTTCACATATGCATTTGACTTTGCATACAGCTGGGAATCACAGACTCCTTGACTTCTTCATGGACCGACCCTATATTAAGAGCTTCTGCTCTTTAGAATGGCTGTTATCGAAGACAAGAGATAAAAAGTGTTGGCGAGGGCTTCCCTGGTGGCACAGTGGTTGAGAGTCCGCCTGCCGATGCAGGGGACACGGGTTCGTGCCCCGGTCCGGGAAGACCCCACATGCCGCGGAGCAGCTGGGCCCGTGAGCCATGGCCGCTGAGCCTGCGCGTCCGGAGCCTGTGCTCTGCAGCGGGAGAGGCCACAACAGTGAGAGGCCCTTGTACCGCAAAAACAAAAAAAAAAGTGTTGGTGAGGAAGTGAAGAAATGGAAACCTTTGTGCACTGTTGGTGGGAATGTAAAATTGGTGCAGCTGCTACGGAAAACAGTATGGCAGTTCCTCAAAAACTTATAAATAGAACTACCATATGATCCAGCAATTCCACTCCTGGGTATCTACCCAAAGGAAATGAAATCAATATCTTGAAGAGATCTACACTCCCATGTCCGTGGCAGCACCATGCACAGCAGCCAAGACATGGAAGCAACCTCAGTATCTGTTGATGATGAATGGATAAAGAAGGTGTGGTGTAGATATACAATGGAATATTATTTATCCACGAGAAAAGGAAATCATGCTGTTTGTGACAACATGGATGAAACTTGAGGGCATTACACTAAATGAGATAAGTCAGACAGAGAAGGACAAATAGTGTATGATCTCACTTACATGTGAGAATCTAAAAAAGCTGAACTCATAGAAACAGAGAGTTGAATGGTGGTTGCCAGAGGCTGGGGACAGAGGAAATAGGGCGATGTTGGCCAAAGGGTACAAGCCTCCAGTTGTAACATGAATAAGCTCTGGGGATCTAAAGTACAGCGCGGTGACTACAGTTAACAGTACTGTATTATAAACTTGTTTAGAGAGTAGATCTTATATGTTCTCACCATATGCACAACAAAAAGGTAATTATATGAGGTGATGAAGGTGTTAACTAACCTCGCTATGGTAATCATTTCTCAGTATATGTGTATCTGATCATCATGTTGTATGCCTTAAATCTGTACAATACTATATGTCAATTATATCTCAATAAAATTGGGGGAAAAAGAGCCTCTGTTCTATATGGATCACCAATTTTCAAATAATTTTTATACAATAATCACATAATAGAGCAATGAATAGGATTTAATATTTGATTTATATTTCATATTTGTTCATTCAAAAGGCATTGTAGGGACTTTCAGGGTTACTAGGGTCGTATTTATGAATACTGATCATCACCCAGTACAACGAAGGCAGAAGCCACAGGAAACAGAGCTAGGTTCTTACTGTAAAATATTTTTAAAGTGGCTTACTCTAAGAAAAATCCTTAAAGCGCTCTTCTTGCATGGATGAGAGATATGAGTTAACGTCCCACGTAATGACAATATGAACTTCCCAGAAATCTATTAATATCAAGCACTCATCACCTACCCGCCCCATAACGCCCCTCCCAACTATGACCTTACACGTGATACATAGATATCTTTGCCCTACTGAATACGGCTGCCAGATTCAGCAAAATTCCATTTAGTTCAATTCTGAAATATGTAAGGAATGCCTTCTATTCTTTATGTACTGGACTAGGACCAGGGACACAGAAATGTATAAATCACTTCCACAGTTCATACCAAGTTAATAAAACATGACCCCAAAAGGTTGAGTATTATCAGGGAAAGTTGCATACAAATACAGATTTTAGCCAAACTATAACAATTCCTGAATATGGCCCTAATATGTTCTTTATACACACCAATGTGTCCTTTTATGGAGACTCTGGCTTTGCAATGAACACATCTGGGATTCTTGTTTCTTAGAGTCTCAGAGCTCTGGGCGTACAAACTTAAATGTAACCGCCACTCTGAAGAAGGTCAGAGATCTTGGGTAGCAGAGGTCAAGAGTCCTGACCCCACGGACTTACCTGAGAGAGAGGTTCAGGAGTGGGTGGTGGCAAAGGAAGGTCTAACATGGGATCAGCTGGTGGAGGAGGTAAGTCATCCTCATATTGGTTAACACTCGGTGCAGCAACATTTGCTGTGTAACCAAGAGAGGCTGCACCACTGAAACTTGGTATATCCAGAGATGCTGAATGAGGTCGGCTCTGAGAGGACTCTTTCTGGGCCTGGATTGTCCTCTGCTCAGCTTCTCTTATGTCTGCTACCAGATCCGCCATGAGAGCATCTAAATCTTGGTCTTCCAGTGCATTTAAGGACTCTGATAGGGAAAATCACGTTAATGGTCAAGACAACAATTTGCACCTAGGAAAACTTAACGAAGGTCATTTTAAAGAGTACATTTGAGTACTGGTTGCAAGGGGCTGGGGTGGGGGAAATAGGAAGAGGTTGGTAAAAGGGTATGAACTTTCAGTTATAAGGCGAGTAAGGTCTGAGGATCTAAGTATAACATGATGACTACAGTTGATAACACTGTATGGTATAATTGAAATTTGCTGAAAGAGTAGAACTTAAATGTTCTCACTAAAAAAAAAAAGAATAGGTGAGGTGATGGATGTGTTAACTAACTTGATGGGGGAAATCCTTTCACAATGTATATACACACCAAATCATCACACTGTACACTTTAGATATCTTACAATTTTGTCAATTAAACCTCAACTGGGACTTCCCTGGTGGTGCAGTGGTTAAGAATCCACCTGCCAATGCAGGGGACACGGGTTTGATCCCTGGCCTCGGAAGATCCCACGTGGCACAAAGCAACTAAGCCCATGCGCCACAACTACTGAAGCCCGCGCACCTAGAGCCCGTGCTCCGCAACAAGAGAAGCCACCTCAATGAGAAGCCCATGCACCGCAACGAAGAGTAGCCCCTGTTCACCACAACTAAAGAAAGCCCATGCACAGCAATGAAGACCCAACACAGCCAAAAAAATTAATTAACTAACTAAAAAAACCTCAATAAAGCTAAAAAAAAATCACTTCTCTCCAAAAAAAAAAAAAAAAAAAAAAAAAAAAGAGAAAGAAAGAAGAGAAAAGAAAACAAACGGGGGAATGTCTTCCCTACATTGGGACCTCACAGGTCAGCTATAAAGTCAACTCCAAGCACCTGATCAGATGCCTAAGTAGAGAATTCTTGTACATTCTCGTGCAAGATCTTAGAGTTTTAGAAAGTAGGGGAGGGGAGAGGCTGGAAAATTCTCCCCAGGTGTTTGGAGGGCAGACAGAGCACCACTGATAAATATACTTGGAAGAAAGTAGGTCTCCACCAACTGGGATTTATTTAATACGCCTTGAGACTTGGGGTGAGGGCAGAGTTTCTGTGGGCACACCATCCAACTATAGGAACTCTCACGTCACAAAAAGAGCAGTTAATGATAAATATTTAATAGCAGGAAATAAAGCACCAAGGGGGTTAAGGAATGAAAAAAAAATTTTTTTTAATTGGGATTAAGTGGTAAAGACTTCATAAGACAGTGAGCTGGGAGTTAACTCTTAAAGGAAAGGGCATACCCGAATTTTCAGAGTGAGGGTGAGGGAGGACGATTTTCACTGGAATTTCTTCCACGTGAGAGATTACTGTGGAGATAAGACCTGGGATCCTGAAAGCTGGTTAGACCACGTGGCATACAGGGAGCCGTGGCTGTGAGTCGTGTTGCTACAGCACTTTGTCCATCAGGCAGTCACCAGATGGTGAGCGTGATGAACAAAGTATGGACAAGGTGGAAGTGATCATGAGGGGGAGAATTCTAGCTGCTGTGTGCAGCGTGAACTGGATTGAGGAAATGCGGGCAGGGGAAATGAAGCCCTCTCAGAAACAAATGAGCAGAAAGCATGGTGAAATCATTTATTGCCAAACGTCATCAGCATAAACACCATGTAGCATATTACATTAGTGCCAATAGTTCTATGTACAGCACTTGGACTGAAGTTTGGATCTCTTAACCAGGTAAAAAGCATTTTCCTTCTAAGCCACCGCTGTTTTGCATATAGCTTTTCATAAAATTAAGTGAAATTTTAAAAATCTCAGAGAAAATATGTGTAGAACTAATGAAGCATATTCCTAATTTTCCAGTGTCATCAATTACATTGTGACTGTAGACACACAGCAAATGATTTTAATCCTTTATAAAAATTTTAGGGACAGAACTCCCACAGTAACACATATAGTAACAATTTCCAAAGCAAATTATAATCCTCAACATATTGGTATGGGATTGAGTGATAAAGAATTGGGGATTCTGTTCAGAAGTTTATCGTTAACTCTCCAAATAACTTTGGGTGAAGTATTTTTTGACTCATTTTAAGCAATGTTTTAAGGGAAGACAGTAGAAAAAAAAATCTATTCCTATTGTAATTCCCAACAAAGTTAATTTTCAGTACATATCAGTACTTTTTTAATGGTCTTGTCTCCTTAATGACACGAGTTTCTTGTTAGTGTCTTTTAACATGACTATGTTTACGTATTGCTGGGTTTCTTGGATTCTGACATTTTCAGTAATTTTTTGATACTAGGTAATAAGTGCTTCGAAAGCATTAGTTGAGCTTCTACAACTAAATTACTGATTAAATTTTAATGGAACTGATTATTCAGCTGTTATGAGTGTGTCAGGCAAATCTGCACTGTTCATATATGCAAGTATATGTTCTCTATTAACGTCATAATTTGACGAAAGTGTGTTGGTTTTCTGAAACTTCATAAATGTTACCATCATTCCACGTTGCAGTGGAAACGACTGACAGAAATAATAAGTTTATATGGAAGATAGAAAAGAGGGTGGGAAAAAGAGGAAATCAGAAGAGATGTACTATGATTTATCAAGATACAGTTATTCGAACCTTAAGGGTTTAATCTAAAAATTACTGAAAATGACAGAAACAAAGGAACCCAGTGAGTGATGGAAATAAAACTTGGAACTCTGGATTTCTGTAACTAGGCTTCTCTATTATTTTGTTCTTTATTCTTTTGGTTGGCACTGCAAGTCTTTGGAAAATCTTTTCCAAGAGTTGCAGTGAATTCTCATTAATTTGGAAGCAATCACTTCAAGATTCATTGTAATTTGAGTAGCACATGGGCTAAAGATTGTCAATGCACTAAGGAGGAAGAGAGATTTTTGTTAATAAAATATGACAAACTTCAGGGGACTAAAATGTCAAATAGACCAAATATACTATATTATATATTAAATATATATTATTTAAAATATATTTTGAAGCATCTATTCATATATTCTCAATCATTATGAAATGGGCAGTTCATTAATATCCTCGAAGGGACATTTCCTTATTAATATTTTCTTATACTACTGTACCTTATTACTGTAATGGCTTAGGAGTAAGAAGAAGCTCTCTGTTTTTTTTTTTAAAAAAAATTAGAAAGCTTTGAGACTTTCAGCAAATACAGGAGAGTGTTCCTTTTCATTACAGGCAAAAATATCTTCTTGGCCTCTCAATTCAATCCAAACAGCAGCACTCAATCTGAACGAAATCCAGGACTTTAAAAATTATACTTGTCATGATGTCCAAGTTCCTTAAATTTTGTTTTCAGATTACAGTTGTGTACAGATTTTAGTCATTGTTATCATTTCAAATTACTTAAGAAAAGAAATGATACTCACCATTTAAATCCTTAAACCCCACACTGTAGTTAAATTCAGCTCTGGGCGGTTTAGGTTCTGGAGGAGGGACAGTGTCGACTCCTAAACTCTGTGAAAACGGATCCCAACCCCCAAAGTTATTCATGATACTAATATTTTTGCAGTGCAATTTAATCATTAAGTAAAGAATCATTTGCTGCTTATACATATTCTCTTTAAATATGTTCTCTAAAAACTGTATTCTTACTTGAACATGCTTTAGGTGATTTTTTTTTCGTACAGAAAATGACAAGTTAAATTATGACAAGTTAAAAATGACAAGTTAAAAATTATTCTAGAAGGTACATCTTGAAACAAAACAGGTCAAATGATGAGAATGAGGTTGTTCATTTTTAGAGACAACAAAAAATTTCCGGGAATGAAGCATTGTGACACATACACTACATACAATTCATAAGGATTTAAGTTATGACATCAAAGAAAGGAATTGTTTAGTCACTTGAAGATAAGAGCTGTTTCAGGATGCAATCTGTTATTACACAGTAAAATGTTAATGCTGTTACTCTTATTTAATAAAACTTGTTAAAAAGAAATTAAGCCACAGTAATTTACTAATTTTGTAAATAACATTATTTTCTAATTGATAAAGTGACTGCTTGTATGATTTAAAAGCTAATATTTAAAAATATTTTTACATCCATAGTTTGAGAAGTGATTTCACCTGTTCTTAAACATGAGTGTTTTCATGACAATGAGTACATTCTTTGATATTAATTTGATTTGGTAAGTAATATCCTTGTTCATGTCTTAAATTTCTGAAGGAAACCAATCATTATAGGTTTGAGAATAAATTAATGAGATATCATCAGTTATACGTAGGAAAAAAAAGGCCATTAATCAAAAAGAAGTTAAAAAAAAAATGAACCCAATCAAGTTAGAATCAAGGATAAAATGTACGGAAAAGTGACTGCAACTCCAGAATTCATTCTAAAAACCGGAATGAACTTGCAAAAATTGCCAAGAAAGAGGGAGGTTGATGGAGAAACTACAGGGCAAATACCAGAAAAAAAAATTTAGTGAAAGAAAGTACAAAAAAATTCATTAACTAGTTGGTTTTTAAATGCTATAACTGGGAAGTATAACATCACAATTAGGGTTGCCAACTCATTTTTTTCTCAGGAATATAATTTACTAGGCTACTTACAGAAATTAGAAGTAGTTCTCTAACAAAACATGAATGCATGAATGTGTAACGTAACAGGCTTTGAGTAAAATACAGAGAGAGGGAAAGGAGAGAGAGGAAACCGGTTTTAGGAAGGAACTCCTTCTATCACAGCTTTAGCCAAGCAAACCCTGTGACCCCACTCACCTGAGCGCAATAAAGAAAGATCAAACCCCAGAAAGGCCTTCAGTGAAAGCAGATCCAAGACACTCTAAGGGGCCCTCTTCTTACTCTTGAATTAGAGTAACAACACTGAACTATGAAAATCCCAGACTCTGACCAATCAGAATAATCATTCCTCTATGGAGCAGAAGTGAGTGAATGGACAAAGAGACCACAGATGTTCATTAAACCCTCCCCCTTCATGGGAGGAAAAAGGTCCTCTGATTTATAGCAATGTGGCTTCCATCCTAACACTCCCTGGTTATTAGTCAGCACCCTTTTCTCTAAGCCTGTCGCCTCACATTTTGTCTCTTCTTTCATAGAATCTAAACCTTCTTGAATTTTATACGGAATATAAAGTAGATGCTCACTAACATTGATTTATTTTTCCTAAAATAAATACTTTAAAAAAACATAGATTATTCTTCATTTATTTTGTAGAAAACTTTAAGATCCCTATCATATTGAGGAATACTGGATGATTCTTATTTTAGTGCTTTATGCAGAAAGCGATAAGCTGACTAGTCTTTATATAAAGGTAACTGCAGGGGAAATTGTTCAGTGGTAGTGGTTGTGGAAGGTTTGCTTGGGGAAAATTCCTCCACTGGCTAAATATTTGAACACGATGAGCATGAAAATTGCCATAATAGAATGTATGTGTGACCCAGGCATTCAATTAACTGAACTCAGAAGGGTATAAACAGGAAAAAAGGTTTATTTTCTCCCCCACCACTGTTACATCAGGAATATATAATATTGTCAATTTCCAGTCTTTTTAAAAAGATAGCTCTGGGCTTCCCTGGTGGCACAGTGGTTGAGAGACTGCCTGCCGATGCAGGGGACACGGGTTCGTGCCCCAGTCAGGGAAGATCCCACATGCCGCGGAGCGGCTGGGCCCGTGAGCCATGGCCGCTGAGCCTGCGCGTCCGGAGCCTGTGCTCCGCAACGGGAGAGGCCACAACAGTGAGAGGCCCATGTACCGCAAAAAAAAAAAAAAAAAAAAGATAGCTCTTGTCATATTAAAATCAAATTCTGTAACCCCGCTTTTTTTCTTTTAATGTTTTTTACTTTGAAAAATGTCAAACAAGAAGGTGAAAAAATAGTACAATGGACAACTATATACCCTTCGCCTACATCCATTTAACCCCATTTTTTTCTCATTTGAAAGTTAAGGAAGGGAATTTACCTGGGTCAGGAGATCCATCTCTCCCAGCAAATTGCTGAACATTTGGTCTATATCTTCGTTTGACTCACCCATCTGAAAAAGGAAGAAATCCAGTTATAAACAATCTAATAAAAGTCTGGGGCTTTCCTGGTGGCGCAGTGGTTGAGAGTCTGCCTGCCGGTGCAGGGGACACGGGTTCATGCCCTGGTCCGGGAAGATCCCACATGCCGCGGAGCGGCTGGGCCCGTGAGCCATGGCCACTGAGCCTGCGCGTCCGGAGCCTGTGCTCCGCAACGGGAGAGGCCACAACAGTGAGAGGCCCGCATACCGCAAAAAAAAAAAAAAAAAAAAGTCTGATCCCCGGATAACTGTCCCATCTCTCTCTTTTCCCCAAAAGCCCCATAGACAGGCAAGTAAGTCAAGAAGAGAAGGTTGTAGAGAGGGAGGTGCATTTCACCCTGAAATTCCATGCCTGACCTCTCTGCAATTTGCTTGGTCCAAGATTCAACGGAACCCTAGTAACTGTCTCAGACCAACAATTGGACTCTTTTTCCAGATGGAACTAGTCTCTTTGGGGCCAAGTGGACAACATTCAGGAATTCACATCACCATAGGACACCCTGATTGGAAAAGGAGAACGCCTCAGGCCACAGGTGATGGCATCAGAGTCATGTCCATTTAAAAACCTAACACAAAAATGATATGTCAGCGGTAAGATTATTTACCAAACGATTCCTTGCTTTACAAAGTTGTCTCTGAAACAGCAGCTTCTGGCACATTTATTTGGAAATTTTAGGGTGACAAACACTTAAAACTAAAATGGCCACACAATCAAGTGATGAGAGATGGAAATAAAACAAGTTTTACATTATAATCTTTCTCTACTTAAACTGAAAGAACTGTCCAAGAGAGGAAAAGTGTTTCCATAAAGTCGGGTGGGGGCACTCTCCTCCTGACATCATTGGCAAAGCTGGATTAGGACATTAGGAGACATGATTACGAGGCTTAATTAGTAATGTGTTGTTTAGCAAAGGGACTCAACTGCTTCATCTGTAAGACGAGGAGTTTGCCGCAGATAATTTCTTAGGGTCCCAAATGCTCTAAAACACTAGAAGATTAGTACCAATTACAGCTCAAGCTAAGAAGTCTGGTGAGTGCAGCATGTATTATTTAAGCCAAACAATATTTATATGTATGTATGTGTGTGTTTGTGTTTTAATTATTTTATATGGAAACTTTTAAATATATACAAAAGTAAAGAGAATAATATAATGATTTTTATGTACCCAGTGTCCAGCTTTAACAATGATCAACTCATGACTAATCTTTTTTATGTAGATACATATGTAGCACTAAAAGATTGTTGTTGTTGTTTTTTTACCATAATACTATCATCTCTGCACACACACGTGTGTGTCTGCATTTAAAATAAATTATTTGGGACTTCCTTCGTGACACAGTGGTTAAGAATCCACCTGCCAATGCAGGGGACATGGGTTTGATCCCTGGTCCGAGAAGATCCCACATGCTGCAGAGCAACTAAGTGCGTGCGCCACAACTACTGAAGCCCACGAGCCTAGAGCCCATGCTCCACAACGAGAGAAGCCACCACAATGAGAAGCCCGCACACCACAATGAGAAGCCCGCACACCACAATGAGGAGCAGCCTCTGCTCGCTGCAACTAGAGAAAGCCCATGTGCAGCAACGAAGACCCAACACAGCCAAAATAAATAAACAAATAAATAAAATAAATTATTTGAATTGCCAAGATTTGGAAGCAACCTGTGTGTCCATCAACAGATGAATGGATAAAGATGTGGTACATATATACAATGGAATACTACTCAGTCATAAAAATGAATGCAATTTTGACCTTTGCAGCAACATGGATGGACTTGGAGGGCATTATGTTAACTGAAATAAGTCTGACAGAGAAAGACAAATAGTGTATGATATCACTTATATGTGTAATCTGAAAAATACAAGAAACTAGTGAATAAAACAAAAAAGCAGACTCACAGATACAGAGAACAAACTAGTGGTCACCAGTGGGGAGAGGGAAGCAGGGAGGGGCAATATAGGGGTAGGGGATTAAGAAATACAAACCATTAGGTATAAAATAAGCTACAAGGATAAATTGTACAACACAGGGAATATAGCTAATATTTTATAATAACTACAAATGGAGTATAACCTTTAAAAATTGTCAATCACTATATTGTACACCTGTAACTTACATAATACTGTACAGCAACCATACTTCAATAAAAAAATTATTTGGCTAAAATAGGCAAAGTCAGATCTACCTTTCGTTGAATAAATCATCTTGAAAACTTACAGTTCTCCCTTTACCATCACTTCAAACTAATACTCGAGCAATAATACTTTTTCATATTTAATAGCTTTAGCTAATCAGGGGTTCTCTCTTTATAAAATGTGTATATAAAAGACCTTTCTCATACTGACTCTGCTTACTTAAAACTGACCTGAATAATTTTTTAAAAACAATTCTTGAAAGTACAGAGATGTGGTGGTGATAATGACGATGATGAACACATTTATCTAGCACTTAACCATGTTCCAAGAACTGATCTACAAGCTGGGTTGATATTAACAGTAAACACCCAGAATGGCACTGACACTGAGAAATCAGAAGGAATGAGGGCTGTAAAAACCATCTGGAGTGAATTAGTGCATATCCTCCAAATATCCACCCTGCAAAGCTAGTGTTCAATCTTCCCATGTTATCTTCAATAGTTATCTTCACTTTACATCACTTAGGAAATCTTCTGGTTTAATTTTCCCATCATATGTTTTCCCCTCTCCCAATTTTAAGAAGGAACAACTCTTTTTTCCATGTACAACTTTACCACCTTCGCTGAAGATGAGATGAGGATTGAGAGTATTTTCCATCTGAATTTCATGCTCTCCACAATAACTCTTTCTTTGCTCTCCTTCTAGGCTCTCTCTCCAGTGAAACATAAAAGCCTCTCTGCGCTATATAGTTCCTGAGTACATTCAATAGTCATTTCAAGTTTTCAGTTGTGCATGTTTTATATTGGAGGGAGAATATGTGAATTGCTATGATTGTTAATTTTCCAGAACCTCCTATCTGGCTTCCACTGGAGGAGGTATCTTGCAGGAGCATGGGGAAGCTACAAAACTGGGTTGACCAGGAAGGGCCAGGAAGGGGACTTCATTCAAACAAAAGAAGTCTATGATACGATGGGACAAGCCCACTTCTAAGTAGCAGACACACCTGAAAGAATCAGGTGAACATACACATGGGACAGGGAGGCACGTGTTTGAGTCTGATGAAGCCATTCAGTGAGTGCTCAGGGTCAAACCATACAAGGTAGGCAGATGAGCCCTCAGGTACAGAAGTGACAGGTAAGGCAGACACTGCAGGTGTGGGTCTATGTGTGTAGGTCTAAGAGGTAGGAAGGATTCAAATAGCATCAGTGAAGAAAGGATGGAAGAAGTTCATTCCATTCTATGGATTGTTGGGTTTAGTGTTTATCATAATCAGAGAAGGAAAAAGAGATGCAGGTGGGCCCTGCCTCTGGCTGGGGAGGGAAGTCAATGCTAGGATCCACTCACATATGGTTTTAATTCCCTCCCAGTTGCTTATAAAGTATCTGAATCATACTCTCCCTTCTTCAAATTACCTACAAAATAGAGGAAAGAAAATATTTAAGTCAACAAAGTACTCATGGTTTCGAAAAGTGTCCCTTTGGGCTTCCCTGGTGGCGCAGTGGTTGAGAGTCCGCCTGCCGATGCAGGGGGACATGGGTTCGTGCCCTGGTCTGGGAAGATCCCACATGCCGCGGAGTGGCTAGGCCCGTGAGCCATGGCCGCTGAGCCTGCGCGTCTGGAGCCTGTGCTCTGCAACGGGAGAGGCCACAACAGTGAGAGGCCCGCATACCGCAAAAAAAAAAAAAAAAAAAAAAGTGTCCCTTCAAATAATTAATCTGGTTTCAAAATCTTATAATGGATGATTCACTCATTACTTTAATAAGAGGAAATTAGCAGAAAAAAACTATAAAATTCCAGAACTGCCCATGTGAATTTATTTTCTTTAGAATATTATGCAGTACAATAATGTGACAAAATAAAGGAATCCTTCAGATGAATTATTACTAAAAGGGAAAGTTAAGAGTAAGTACTAGTGTTAACATATTTCAAAGTTTTTCATGAGAGAAAAGTAATCCTTTCAGAGTGGAAAAAAATAGATTTATTTGCTGACCTCAAAAATGCCAGTCAGTGTTAAAATAAACTCAAAGGAACCAAAGATGATGCTAGTAATAAGAATCTTATCCTTGATGCTTTCTCTTAAACCATTACATTTGGAAAAGCGCTAAATGATGAAGAATGAAGTCTTGAAAGGAAATGTGGCATTGATGGGTCAGAAATATCCACTGAGCCCAAAGACCTTAGCTTCTCAGCCTGTATACACCATTGATACAGAATGGGGTGAGGCGTATAAACACCACTATATACAAAACAGATAATCAACAAGGACCTACTGTATAGCACAGGAAACTCTACTCAGTACTCTGTAGTAACCTAAATGGGAAAAGAAATGGAGATATGTATATGTATAACTGAATCACTTTGCTGTACACCTGAAACTAACACAATATTGTAAACCAACTATACTCCAGTATAAAATAAAAATTAAATTAAAAAAAAAAAACCAGAACGGGTTGAGGACTTGCCAGAGTGAATCATACACCTAACACGGAAATTACTTGAAACAGCAGCATCTTCTTGTGACCTCTGCTGACTCTCCCTGCGTTCATCTGATAAAAATCTTTCCCCCTGCCCTTGCATTCCTTTTCCCCAGAGTGTGTTGATATTGAATTATTTAAAGGAGTCAATATCAAAATTATTCTGTAAATCCTGTCGTAAGTAAATATGTTACTGAATGGATCACAGTTTAAAAGAGTTGTATCCTTGGTGAAAATAATAAAACATTTAGTTAAGGGCTATTAACATAAATGTGTACATTCAAATCATCTTACATATTTATATTCCCCAAGAAAACCTTATGGACAGAACAAGAGTCCCGTGGATATATACATAGTGCCTA